ATGTTGGTCGGGCAAGCAATCGAACCCTGGTCTTTCGAATGCCAGTCGACTATCGCGAATCATAAATTAGCGATTTTTTTTTAAGATGCCATCACGTATCACGAATGGCTTTTGAATTAACCTATTAATATACTCATTCAACCTAAAGTAAGCTTCCTCGCTGAATAAAATGTTATTGTTAAAATCAGAATCCAAGACCAGCTCGTTTTGGTCCCACTCACCGCACGTGAGACGCGCTTGATGGGAGCTAGGCTTCGATAATTGCCCGAGCCCGTAAGCGAATGGGCACAGCTCCAATTGTTGCCTGCGATGGCGAATGGACTCATTGTGGTCTTTTTCATACTCTGCTCTAGACCAGTAATGGCGGTGCGTACTGTGCGGCGTTTCTGTGCGTGCGCAGTATCCATTAGAGTCCTGGTTCGAAATCGATCCATACTTGATCGAAATACCGACTCTACTGGACGATTATATTGACCGAATATTGTAGCAAGTCTGTTGCTTACGAAATGGCAAACCTAACAAATAGGTTTACTCTGAAAAAATAAAACTTTTTTTCTACCGATTTGGCAACTGAGTCATTCAACAAGTGCGAATGCTTTTAAATGTTTCGCATAACGACGTATTGAGAATCATGACTGTCGCCTTTCATATGTAAATGGCATGCCTATACAATCGGGAAATCTGCGCTTTTTCTCATACATACATACATACATACATACATGCCAACATACGAAAGCGTAAGTACAATTATTTTTCTTTTCAAACCGGTAAATCCAAACAAAAGCGGCAACACTCTTCCACCTCTGCGTGATGACAAGTGTTGCCTTTTGTTTGCATCAAATTGAAATTATTATGTGCATTTTCAAAGCTTTTCACACATTAATAGATAAATGAATGAATACAAGTGCTTAATGCACGTCTGTTATGTATAAATGGGTATGAATGGGCGTCTAAAGGGGGGGAATGAATAAAAAATGGCAAACGAAATGACAGGCAAAGTGAAGTTTTTAAAGTGCAAGTACAGAAATTGCGAAAGAGCATCACCAAAGTGCGATTGGGAACACATTTTCTCGTTCTTACGGGTATATATACATATCTATTTTTCAATGTGTTTTGGTTTGTAAGTAAGTGTGTACTTTACTTATGTATATAGAATGAATTGCAGTCAGGTAAGTTTTGATGACATTTGATACGCAGTTATGATTTGATATTAAAATTTCATACAGACATATTTATAACGGTATTCTTCAAAGGTATTACTTACAAATTTATTTTATTTATTTATATTTGATTTCATTTCCATTCATTTAAACACGATGTGTTACATTATTTGGTCAAGTAAAAAGTTCGTTCGGTTTTAATTTAAGAGATGGCGTTATTGTCCATAGTACTAGTGTTACGTGTCGCATCATGTCATACGATACGGCGCTGAAAACGTGTTTATTCGCGCTAAAAGTTTGTCTCTGACAGTTTTTCGATTGATCGACTCGGTACGTTGTGGGCGCTCGTCAAATTTGGACACCAGCAAAGAGAAAATTCGCTATTTTTTACAATTATTCTTCGATCAAGGCGAAAAGGCAGCCAAAGCAGCTGGAAAAATTAATTTAGTTTATGTGCCCGTTATTGTAAACGAACGTGTAGCACAAAAATTGGTGACGCGCCAGAAGCTCCAGGAGCTCGGATGGGAGATCTTAATACACCCACCTTATAGTCCGAACCTGGCGCCAAGTGATTACCATCTTTTCCTGTCCATGGCGAACGCGCTTAATGGTTAGAAGTTGGCCTCAAGAGAGGCTTGTGAAAATTGGCTCTCTTAGTTATTTGCCAATAGGGACGCAGCACAACAGACATCTGAATGGTTTTCTACTCGACTTGCACTCCAGCTTTCAGAGAGCACTCATCAGCAACTCGGTATAAAGAATTTTTGGGACGGCATTACAAGCTCACTATATTCAGCTGCAAACAAAAAGGAAAAGTCGAAAGATATCTGAAACGATGAGGATTACTGTGCCTGAGGATTGACTGTCTGCCTCGCAACCCTGTGGTAGATCAAAACACTTGCGGTGTGGGAGAGGTACCGAGAATTGAAGGGGTCAAGTGATGACGTCGCTCTTAACAGTTGTAACTTTACTTATTTTCAAACAACAAAATAAAAGTCAGACTTGAAAACCAACATAGAGCCACTCTTGGGAACAGCTGATAGGTCTGAGTTGGTAATTAAAAACTAAAGTTCAATTTCTACAAGTCGCTCATCATTCCCGCCCTGCTATATGGTGCGGAGGCATGGGCGATAACAACATTTGATCAGTCAGCATTAGGAGTTTTGCGTAAGATTTATGGTCCCCTACGACTTGGGAACGTCGAATACCGCACACGATGGAATGATGAGTTGTACGAGATATACAGTTACATTGACTTAGTGCAGCGAATCAAGAGACGAAAAGACAACAGAAAATGGCTCACTCGACTTACTTTCGTCCAATCTCTTCCTCTAATTTGCGGTGTGAGTCTTAATGTTTTTCCAAACAAACCGTATGCGAACGGTTGGAGGATGCCAAACCATCAATCGGAAGACTTAAAGTTGTCTACCGAGGGTGCGGTCTCCATTGAGGCTTTCCGAATGCCTGTATGTAATGTCATAATAGTTCGGCTGCCCCGACCGAATATCGTTTTTGGGGTTATAAAGCCCCAAATACAAGTATGTATATAATAATAATAATAAGTCCCACGAATACCATCCACCGGCACAACCGACACAAAAGGCGACATCCGCATAATATGCGGAATATGCCGAGTCATGATTGGGAAGCGTTTGTTAAGCGTCGAGATTGAAAATTTTTCAGCTGCAGAAAAAAATAATTATTCAACAGGTGAAATTCGGTAATTATGGAATTTTAAAATTAAAGTCTCTCTCTCTCTCTCTTCACCATCTCTTGACAAAGGTGACAAAAGCATTTTTAGCTTTTAAGACAGTGGGTCCATCATAACCCCAAATCAACGAAGTTGACGACTTGTTGAAGACTACAGTCATCAGTGTATATAAGAAGAAGGTTGAACAAGTCTTCGTGAGTATATGGTCTTACTCTTTTGAAGGTTGTCCAGATTGTTTTGTAAAAAACGTCTTTCGTCGAATGAGGTATATGACATACAAATTTTGACATCAGCAGCATATAGGAAGATATTTGAATGCTGGATTACCGCTTATGAATTATAGAATGAGATTCGGGCCGACAGGGCTACCTTGAGGAACTTCTGATGAGGCATTAAATAATTGTGATAAAGAGTCTTTAAATGCTACACGCTGTGTTCTATTGCATGAAACTCATTGAAGAAATTTTGGTTGAAAGCCCAGTAGATCTAGTTCATGGATGAGAATTGAGTGATTAACTCAATCGAATGCTTTACTGAAGTTGGTGTAGACAACGTCAGTTTGCTTATTAGCTCTAAAGGCTTTTGAGATATGTGACATAAATTCAAGCAAAAATGTATGTAAATGTTGATTTTCCTTTATAAAACCCGTGTTGGATATTGGATAGTAGTGAGGAGATCAAAAACGATATCTGATTGCCTTAAAAAAATTTTGCAATACCTTAATCATTCTCAATATTAGACCACTATATATACGTGTATAACCACCCTTGTGTAAGGGTACTATAAAAGACTGCTTCCGTTTTCTAGGGAACTCATCCTGTTTGAGAGAGGAATTAAAAAGTTGAGTCAAAAACAAATACAGACTTTTTTGCACAACTTTTCAGAAAGCATGTGGGAATCATATCTGGACCATAACTGAAAGAATGTTTTAGATTCATCAAATGAAGTAATACATCTTCCCCAGAAATAGTTGGTTATCTAATTATTGTTGTTGCACGTAAGTAATGCTAACAGATAGAAAAGCCACTTTGAGAGTTAGTTGAATGATATTGGAAATACTTAGACGGTCACATGATATAGTAGATTTCTATTTAATGGCGGACGGAATGATAGAAAGCTTCAGTTTGGAGCTAACAAAATCCTAGAACAGCTTTGGATTTGCGTAAAATACTTTTTTTAACTTTAGTTGCGTAATCATTATAACATTTATTTTATTTAATTCAAGAAGCTTACGATGTAGGAACGAGTATTTTAAGTAATTTAAGTGTAAGTCCCATTTCTTGAAAGTCTTAAGATGTTTCTTATTTCCTTGAGTCAACCAATATGCGAACGCATTTTATACATATCGAAAAACGTGTGATCAAATAATATTAAAAATAAATTATAAAACTTAGAAACATGTAATTATAAATGTTCTCAAATATTGAGAAACCAACTTTCGCGAACACAACCCACCCACCCATCAAGAACAAATGGCAAATGTTAACAGCGAAAGCAGCAATAAGAACAACAGCGACAGCTACAGCTGTAGCGCCAACGCCGTCAATATAAATTGTCAGCTGTTAACATTTCTAATTGATGTGATTTTAATTGTGTCTTGTCAGGGGGCGAGCGCACGATATGTACATGGCATGGCATGGCATGGCATGGCATGGACACGGACAGCAATTTGTTGTGTGCAATTGGCACTTCATTGACAGGTCGTGAACTACGGTCTCGTATGCATGTTTGCAGTTCTCTACAAACACTTACATACATACATATGTGTACATATCATATACATATTTATATATATATATTTATATATATATAGCGTACGAATGTATGCAATGCAAATTTTAGTCTAGGGTGTGTGTGTGTGTGTGTGTGTGAATGATATGCAATATGCGGTGGAATTTTGTATTTGTATTGGTAATTTTGTATTACCACAGGGAAATCCGTAAATTCCCCATGTACCCGACATACCGGCATACCTACATAGCTACATACTATTTTGTAAATATTTTTGCATATTTCAAATATAACTTTTAAATCGTTTTGTGTGCCTGCACCGTTAAGCTTAAATGGTAATTATTTAAAAATTTCAGTTTGCAGTTTTCAATTTTCAATTTTCAGTTCACTTCACTTACCGGCATTTGTACTGGCAAGGCCACTGCACAGTAGACAAATTAACATGGCAAGGCTGTTGAGCCGGAGTCTGCTGTAGCGTCTTTTGCTGTTGGACATTTTCTTATAGCGCGTGAGTTGGTCACTTGGAGCCTGCTGTCGCGCGTGGAGCATGTTGGAAGGAAGGCTGCAAAGAGAGATGAAAAACAAGCAGCGGATTAGAGAGATTTACATTGAATGTATAAAAGTGCGCTGAATGAGCTGTGTGTGTGTGTGTGTGTGTGTGTGTGTAGCTTATATTAAATTAATTTTTATTTACTTTCTTCTCAGTTGAGTTCTTCGGAAAAGGTTTTTATCTTAAAAAATACCAGATGGCCTCAAATTTAAATGCAGCGGAGAGTGTAAAAGCAGGTAAGGACGAGCTGAATTCCATTTGAATAAAGGAAGCTTGTAATCAATTCGACCTCCTTTCTAGATATGAAAGAATATGAACCAAAAACCGTTAATTCATTTTGAATACGCTCCGCTCAAACGCAGAAGGGTTAGTAGGTGAGGATGAAACGTTCTTTCGCTTCACTTTCTGAAACAACGACTGATGGGGTTTGATGTCTGATTTCAAGAAATCGTTTAAAGACTCTTCCTGCTGTTTTAGTAAATTACTTAACCAAAAGTTTCGAGAGAAAAAACCATTTAGTTTCTGCTAGTTAAGCCACTTTCACGCTTACCCCAAGAGCATCCCACAAAGACACAAACTACTTGAACGCGGTAATGTAAGAGTAAAAATATCCTAAGCGCCTGACTAGTTTTTTTATAGTGAATAGCCTAGGCTTTGCAGCTTTGCAAACGCAGGTCAATTCGTGATTCCATTTCTTTTTTCGGAAAATCCCAAACCTTACCGCTTGTAGGTTCATCGAACAATACCCGATCATACCTCCGACTGTGTGCAAGATTTTTTAGTAATCGGATGAAAAGCAACTTCCCAAACCTTTAACCGTCAAACTTGGATCACATACTGGCAGTTTAATATTGCAGTTTTCAGCTATTTCTAGCAGTTTGAATTTACAGCCGATGGATAATTATCTACAGAAGACTCCTGCGTCAACCTTTTGGTCATGTTTCAAACTAACTATAAAGAAGTTATGTCATTCAGTCATCAAGTAAGTGATTATGATGAAGAAGAAGCCACTCGGAAACATCTCAGAGATACCATAATCAATGGAACTAGGGATGAAATCTAAGTATTCAATAACATCGGCGTGTCTCGCAACGGATACGTAAAAGATTACCCAGATGATAATGATATTGTATAATGGTGGTAAGTGATATGTGAATATCGTATTTAAGGCCCAATCGAGCGTATTGTGTGAAAGACTTAAGCCTACCGTCAAACAAACTGAGTGGACCTTATCGGTGTGACTTCAGACGAGATATTCACTGCACACTCCACCTCTTCGTCGATTAAGCCACCCTTCAACAACACGAATATGAGTTGCCTCTACGCCGGTGTCTGAACTTTGTATGCCCGCAAGACTTATAAGGCTGTAAACTGACCCTACACAATATCAAAAACGCAGTCAGAATTGGAAGGACTTCTCCGAGCCGTTTGGTACCAAACGTGGTTTCAGACAGGTTGACTCTTTATTGTGTGATTTCTTTAATTTATTGATGGAGAAAGAAAGGATGCGAGAAGTTACAACATTCTATAAGAGTGTACAACTGCCGCCGTACACTGATGATATGGACATCTTAAGCCTGAGCAGGCCGACATGAGTTCTGTTTTCTCCAGACTGGTTAAGAAAGTGTAGCTTTGGGTCTGGTAGTGAACGAGGGGAGTTTCAAATTTCTTCTGCCATCGAAGAAACAGTCATGACATTCGCGACAAGGCTCCAACGTCATTATTGGCTGTCGCAACGTGAGCAACAATATCAGAATTGAAATCCAACACAGAGCCGCTCTTGCAAACAGGTTCAAAGTATCTATTTTGGACAGAGTAGGCAATTGAAATGTAAAGTCCACTCTCGACGAACAAATGCCAAACTCTATAAGTCATTTATCGTTACCGTTCTGCTATATGGTTTAGAAGCGTTGACAATGCCGACATTTTGTTGTTCCCCAAAGTATTTTTTGAGGAATGTTGTGGAAGTGACAGTCGTGGAACTTGGATTTTAGTCGCCTCTTACATCGCATAGTTCAGCGAGGATGGATGAGACTACGACAGGAAGTTGTCGGTGTAGTCTCGTCTGTGAATGTACTCTGTCGGGCTTCATTAGGTATTTCCATTTCATGCCGGAAAAGAAGAAATAAATGGCACATTGCTGTTAACTCGGCAATAATCGCATACGTGGAGTTTACGCCAGTAAAGAAGAAGAAGATCAAAACTAATAAATCTTTTGTATACTTTTTGTATATATGTATTGAAGGACTAAATAAAAAACACACCATATCGTACATAGAAACTCGAAACACCTTCTTTAGCAGCAAACACCGCAACTTCGCAGCCAAGCAAATAGCAAAAGTGAGGGTACAAGCATCAGCAATGAGAGAACAAAAAATTAATAAAATAAAATAAAACTAAACTTGTAAACCGTAAATAAAAATAAAAACAAACAAAAGAAATATAAAAAAAAGTCGTGCGTCATGCAAGAACATAAACAGGCGTGCGAAATGTTTCAAGTTTCAAACACAAAATTATTTGCAATTGTTGTCTTGCTTTTATTTAGACAACACACTTTCTTTTAACTCAAAACACACAACTGTTTAGCCAAGTTAAAAAAACACAAGAAGTTTTTTTTAAAAAAAAAAGTGAAAAGATCAGCCGCACGTCGAAGAAATGCTAATATTTGTACGCTCATTCCCCCACTGAAGACGAAGGGAGTTTGAGCGAAGCAGACTTGGAAAACATGTTGAATTAGCAAACGAAATAAAATGAGTTGAAAGTCAAACACAGATTGACAGACATGCTAGTAAGCCACGCGAAGAGCAGGTGATGAAAGGAGCTCTCGTGTATTCTTAGAGTTTCAGCGAAAAGTTATCGTTGGTTTTAAATTACAACTCATGTTGAGGGCATAATAAAAACATACAAAAAAAAAAAAAATTAAAAAATCCAAACACCACCAGTCCGTAAACATAGAATAACAGGTGAGGGGGACAATATCTTGATTTTGGTCCAATTTTGTGCTTTAAGGCTCTGAATATAATGGGGAATATTTCAATTTCATGAATTTATGTCAATTATACGGAAACATCATCACTGGCAAAGCGTTGTACTTTAAGGATTGGGCGATGCGAATGGTACAATGAAAATTCTGTAATATGATTTCTGGCAGGCGGTTTATTATGAGATCTCTCTCTCTTTCCTCTCTCTCTCTCCCTCTCTCTCCCCCCCTTTCTACCCCTCTCCCTCTCTCTATCTCTTCCACTCTCTTCCCCCCTTTCTCTCTCTCTCTCTCTCCCTCTCTCTCCCTCCCTCTCCCTCTCTCTCCCTTTCTCTCCCTTTCTCTCTCTCCCTTTCTTTCTCTCCCTCTCTCACTCTCCCTTTCTCTCTTTCCCTTTCTCTCTCTCCCTTTCTCTCTCTCCCTTTCTCTCTCTCCCTCTCCCTCCCTCTCTCCCTCCCTCTTCCCCTCTCTCTCTCCCTCTATCTCTCTCCCTCTCTCTTCCCCTATCTCTCTCCCTCTCTCTTCCCCTATCTCTCTCCCTCTCTCTATCCCTCTCTCTCTCCCTCTCTCTCTTCCTCTCTCTCTTCCTCTCTCTCTTCTTCTCTCTCCCTCTCTCCCTCTCTCCCTCTCTCTAACTCTCTGTCTGATAATTTATTTATGAGAAACTTTTGAATGCATGTCAGATATACACTCTTGACACTCCCTGCCAAGGGGCGACCGCAATTAGAAAATTTAATTAAACATTTTATTTAAATTTATTTTCTACAATTTTTGGGTGTTGGTTCACATTTAAGTGGCTTTATTATTATTCCAGATAATACTTTTTTTTACGAAAATAATAAAGATTGAGGTTATGGTTCAATTTACTTCAATATCAATATTTTCCCAAAAGTGTACCGCTATTATAATGTTAAGACAAATGTTTTTATGGTTCGATTTTATTGAATTTATGTTTAAATTAAATTAAATTAACTGCAACATTCTTTACCCTTTTCATCTATTCCAATTCCGGTTATAATAACCAAATTCAACGAAATAGCAACGTGCGACAGGACCTGCCAGTATTCCATAAATTTAAATGTTGGTCTGACCGAATTCAAGCCCATAACCTTCCGCTTGGTAGCACTCAGTGCTAATTACTCAGCTACCGCGCTCGAGTGTAATCTAATCAAAAAATATATTGGAATATAAGTTGTCTTACGATATTTTCCATATTAAGTCAGTTCACCCTAGCATGTGTATGTACATATGTAGTTCTTTGCTTGCCAAGTATATTCTGTATTTATGTGCATATTGATTTAATCAGTGCTACCGGCCGTTAATCTGCCGAATTCCCCTTGACTAATGAACTGTTTAACCACACTTAATTAATTATGTAGTGTTAATAGAAATTTCATTACTATTATAGCACCATAATTGTTTGTATGTATGTTTGTGTGTAGACAATTCGCAATTATTTATTTAGATGGCTATGCAAATGAAATGATAATCTATCGATTTATTGAAAGCTTATTTAAATGAATAAATTATTTTTTAACCATTCATAAATTTACATACATATACATGATATACATATATATTAACTTTTGTGCTAAGTATATATGTAAGTACCAGAACGAGTAGAGATAGACCCATCAAAATTTATACCGATCGAGATAAGAATGAGGAGCGGAATTTATTTGGTAATGTCCGTCAAATTAGTTCCTCATATTTTTAGTTGGAACTGGCCAGATCGGATCACTAAGGCAACGAGTATATATATGATATAACACCGACTGATTTCTCAGATTTGATATTTTAGTTCATAAATTCGTTACAAAATCATATAAGAGCGTAAAATGTGCCACTTAAAATGATCGGAATCTGTGCATTACATCACACACCACCCATACGACCGATTTGTTCAGATATAACGTCGTAGAAGCATGAACCTTGGTTTTCTACACAATTTAAAAGAAATCATAATTGTCATCGAAAATCTTCGAAATCGGAGAATTACAGATTGTCTGAACAGTTTCTGTACTCGACATA